GACTGACCCATTTCTAGGGATGGGTATCGTTTGAAATGTATCGATTCCGATTTCGATTCCGGTTCTGCTTATCGATTCCGGTTCTTATCGATTCCCCGTTTCGATTCCAAAATTGTAAAATAAAGAGGTCAAACGTTTAGATAACAAAAATATATTTATTCTTAAAAGCTTTAACTGAAATTGTTACTAAAAAATATACATGCAATACAAATGTATTGCACAATAGCTGTGCTTTATTTTAACTGAGCTATGCCTGTGGCAAGCTATTAACAGGCATTACACTTTGCCTTTTCTTTTTCTTTTTTAGTGTAGTGGAGCCTCACTTCAGAGTGTTTACCGCGACCCATCTTTGGTGTTATGAAGTGACTGAGCTCGTGAAATGTCTACGGGAGGGCGGGGGAGCATCGCTGCGGGGCAACTGTGGACCTCTGTCGCCTGTCAGCGCAATTTATATGATGCCGTTTAAAAAAATGAAGGGCGGTACCGGGTCACCGCAGCACCGCGGTGCAGACGGACCCGCTGGAATACAGGGTCTACCGCGTTTAGGAACCGTTAAGCAGAACCGAAATTGTGTATTTTGTATGGGTACCCGGTACCCCGGCATTTTCTTATCGGTTCTCATCTGGAACCGAGTTTCGGTTCCCAACCCTACCCATTTCTAAAGAAAGCTATTTAATAGTTATAATAAAAAGGTAAAACATTGTTGCCAAGAGTGTTGTAGGCAGCACTAAGTACAAGGTGAATGAGGACACATATTTACTACCATTATTACCTAAAGGCATTTAATCTGAGGTTATTTAAAACTTTTCAAGAATACAATTCTCAGTGAGGTGCGAATTTGATTGTTTAAACTTTTTAAAACCTTCTCTAAACTTTCTTGAAAGCTGATAGGATGTCTGGATACCTGACATACTCTTACGCAATAATATGAATTAGTCAATTCAGATTAGAAGAGATCAAACCTTATTTAATAAAGAATTGTGTTTTTGATGACAGAAAAAAATGAAGTTTAGAAAATGTATTTATTCAATGGCCCTCCAAAAAAGATACTTTATGGAGAAAGAAACAAGAAGTATCATCACTTCCGCAATAAACAAAAGCGAAGTAGAATTTCCAAACTTGCCTACTTTTTACCCCCCATGGAATCACACTGGAATGGACAATTTATTAGATTTATCACTGACGCATCCACTTATCTGAGCTCGGCATGTAATTTCATTTCCATCCATCCTATTTGCACCCTATTTTGTATCCTGTGTCAGCCAGGCAACAGTCCAACAGGTGGCTGATGCTCACTTTCAATTTCAGTAAGGCCTATGAAAGCCAGCTAGCAGGTCAGATAGCAGTGCATATTGGTTCTGTTTTCATCTAAGGGCTGACAAACACTCTGAAGCTTCAATTTATCTTAATACATCCCAAGAGGTTGGTTCTAATATAAGTGACAATGAGCCAACACGTAAAAAGCAACTAGAAGAAACTAAGAAAAGAGTGGTAAAAAAACTCATGTCAATTCATACACACAAACTTGGTGCTATGGATCCATAATGATAATGTATTTTCATAGTAAAATATTGTATTGCCATCATGTGATAATTTACAATCTCTAAATTTGCAAAAAGGCGACATATATGATATTGTGAACATCTATCTATTTAGCTATGGCAAAACTGATGATTAGTCCGATTTTACTTTTTTTGCTACATGAGCATTATGTCTGATTAGAGTACATTAAATGGTATATCATTAATCAGCAGTGTGTTGTCCATTTTAATAATCCTCATATGCTAGTCTGAAGAGCTACATCAAGGCCCAAGTAAGTGCGCCGGCCATTAAAGCACATTTTCGTAGTGGCCAAACGGTTGTACTAAAATATCTGTGTCAGTACTTTTTACTTGCATTGGGAAAGTATGGAAGCCTGTTTGCGCCACATGGAAACAAAAAAAAATCCTGTAAGGCAATATATTGAGATAGCTATCTCAATATATTGACTTACTATCTCAATATATTGACTTACTATCTCAATATATTGACTTAGCTATCTCAATATATTGACTTACTATCTCAATATATTGACTTACTATCTCAATATATTCACTTAGCTATCTCAATATATGACTTAGCTATCTCAATATATTGACTTAGCTATCTCAATATATTGACTTACTATCTCAATATACTGACTTACTATCTCAATGTATTGACTTAGCTATCTCAATATATTGACTTACTATCTCAATATATTGAGTTATATATATTTTTTTTTATTGAACCAATAAGGCACATAGACATCAATGTTCATCATATAAGCGGTACAACTTTATATTAAGGTACACAAATTCACCATCAACTAGTTGTTAATTATCATGCATATTAGCAGTATATTGGCTCTTTATTAGTCATTATAAAACGCTTATTAATGCCTTATTCTACATGACCATATTTTACAAGTAATAGGCCATTAGTTGAGAGTTTTCCCTCAATAACCCTCTAATTAGTGTTTATTTATTACAAGTAGGGAAGTTGTTGTACATGAGCTTGGGTCTTAATATGCTCTGCTCAATATGTCTAAATAACTCAAAATTAGGTATTTATATCTAAGAATATGTTCTCTATTTTAAAGTGAAGTCTTGTTCATAACCAATAAGCTAGTAATTTGACTCTAATTGACCTGAACAGGTTCCCTATTCTAAAGTTGTCTCCTCTTCACACTTTGTAAATACATTATAGAACACAACTACTGAAATTAACCTCAACAGTACATGAACAAAGTAGGCACACGTTGAAATATCTGTTTTATTAAACCACTATAGAGAGGTTCAGACACATGTACCAAAACATGTCAAGTTTCTACAAGGAACATATATACAGCCTGTACTTTTCAATAAAACAGATTTTTAACAGAGTTTATGTATTTGTGATCATACTATGTGACCTGCTTGTATGTACTTACACAATAAGTGTACTGTTCTCTCTATTTGTTGTAGTGTCTCCGTACGTACTTACACAATAGGTGTACTGTTCTCTCTATTTGTTGTAGTGTCTCTGTACGTACTTACACAATAGGTGTACTGTTCTCTCTATTTGTTGTAGTGTCTCCGTACGTACTTACACAATAGGTGTACTGTTCTCTCTATGTATTGTCCTGTCTCAGTGTGAACATAGATTAAACAGCCAGCCAAACTCTTTTGAGAGCCAGGGAATGAGCAGCCATGCTCCTTTATTGACTTATTTGCAGTCCACTGACATTCAAACGGAGTGAAACTATAAAAAAAGAAGTTACAAGGCACTTAATGATCTCATACTGTACATGCAAGTGTAACATACACAGATTACTTGTAGAATATGATCATGTAGATGACTAATAAAGAGCCAATATACTGCTAATATGCATGTTAATTAACAACTAGTTGATGGTGAATTTGTGTACCTTTATATGAAGTTGTACCGCTTATATGATGAACATTGATGTCTATGTGCCTTATTGGTTCAATAAAAAAAAATATATATAACTCAATATATTGAGATAGTAAGTCAATATATTGAGATAGCTAAGTCAATACATTGAGATAGTAAGTCAGTATATTGAGATAGTAAGTCAATATATTGAGATAGCTAAGTCAATATATTGAGATAGCTAAGTCATATATTGAGATAGCTAAGTGAATATATTGAGATAGTAAGTCAATATATTGAGATAGTAAGTCAATATATTGAGATAGCTAAGTGAATATATTGAGATAGTAAGTCAATATATTGAGATAGTAAGTCAATATATTGAGATAGCTAAGTCAATATATTGAGATAGCTAAGTCAATATATTGAGATAGTAAGTCAATATATTGAGATAGTAAGTCAATATATTGAGATAGCTAAGTCAATATATTGAGATAGTAAGTCAATATATTGAGATAGCTAAGTCAATATATTGAGATAGTAAGTCAATATATTGAGATAGCTAAGTCAATATATTGAGATAGCTAAGTCAATATAATAACTTTTTTTCCTGTGGCGCAAACAGGCTTCCATAGAAAACAGACGTCTTCTAATCAGTCAATATTTTTTTTTAAACAAATTCAACTAGCAGTTGTTATAGCTGTAACTGTTATAGCCTTTATTTAAATCATTAGGGTCTTAGGATGTGAAATGTGCTAAAAGCCGTATCCAGCATTATTTTCTCTCTCCACTCATTTGTCTGAGCCAAGACCTGCTGACATGCTGTTTTGGAGGCGGGGCTCTCTATGGGCCCAGCTACAGGTAACCTAGCTCTCAAGAGTCAGGCCACTTTGGCTGCATGCACCACTGAGCAAATTTCATAGGAATGAACGGGGTCCAGCCTCCAACGCTTTATCCAGTTCTATTTATATATATGTGAGCTACATACAGAAAGAATGCTTAATTGAAACTAGAATATATGTTTTGCAAAATAATTAATAATAACATTTTTCTTGCATCACAGCAGCTCCATTTGCAACAAGGACAATGATTTAAGACAAGATACAAGGGACAAACATTTTACAAAACATCCCGATCACTGAAGAGAAACAAGACCCTCTAGCGTACATTTGAACAGGGATTTAGCTCTGTATTTAATTTGAGGATTGACTGCTGCACAAAAGAATGCTTCAGTCTGACCTTATTATATCCCTGTGTCTCCGTTTTGATCATAACAATTCATATTCGCTGTTCAGGACATGGTTGGGGTCAGAGCCGATGTAGTTGGACAGCATCGATATGTGGTTATGGTAGGCTGATTAATAGAGTCTCTCAAAAGGTTTACCTACAATCTTTGAGCAGATTTTTAACTGGTGGAGCAGTTTTGACTTTAAAGCGGTAGACAAACACTTGTACCATGTAGTACTGCAGTACTGTAGAACACTCAGAATCACATATGTAAACAACATAAGAAGAATGTGTCTACTCGCCCTGAGGGGCATGAGGCGGTAGAGAAAATAGATTCTTTGTTTTATTTAAAGTAAGAGCAGCAGCAGGGCGATACTCACAACATGAAGTCCTGCTCCCAACATGGCTGGTCCCCTCGGACTGTGATGGTAGTACTCTTCACATTTTGCACCTTTAAAGTGACATAGGCGTTGAATTTGTCTGGAAAAGAAAATAAAGAAAATAAAGTTGGTCTTTCATCTTAACATGTTTGTACCATTGCAGACTTTAGTGACCCATCCCACTTCATTGATTTAACTTCAAGGGAAATAAATTCCCTCGGCATAACAATACAGTAAACAGACATCATTAAGCTGAGAAGCCTCTCTTGAGCGCATTAAAGGAGAGATTGATGGAGGCTAAAACATTTAAAAACGTGAAATATTTGTTTTAGACAAGGAACAAATAATTGACTCTATTGACACTGAAGAAAAACACAGACAAACAATTAGTCAGACAAAGGATTTAATTCAGAAATTAATATTATACAAATTAACTGATAAACAGCTGCGAGATATGACCAAAAAACACATAGCTTATACTAATATTAGCCTTTGCAATACATTAGGCATTTTCCTTTAAATCACAGAACAGTGCGAAGACCATAAACCCCTCTCAGAGAGCATTGTTGAAGTGATAGTCGGATTAAAGGCAGTAAACAAAAATGCAAAAATATTAAATAAAATCAGAAAGATAAAGATGCGTCACAAATATGAAGGAGGACAATTTAGTCTTCCACTCCAGAAGTGAAAGGAGAAAGACAGAAATGAACAGACATAAACCACTGCCTCTTAATTAAGTGACTTGTTCCTTTTTAATAAGGCCCATTTGCCCCCCCCAAGAGGTTAACACTACTAACTATAAAAGCACCAAACAGGGAACACTTTGTACTAAAAAAAGAGCCACCTCAGTTGAGGAACAACAGTCATACTACATTTTCTCATCACACACTGAGGGCTGTACAGAGATCTATAAACTGTAACTCCTTCCTTCTTTGATATGCCACTTGTTGATTTGTGCTTAATGTATTCATATTTTGTCATGTCAAAGCTACACTTGGTTATTCTACAAAGATCAGCTGCTGCAAAGACAATAACCCTCTCTTTTTCCTGGAAGTTGCTCATTGCTGTCATTGAAGGTGTGGGTTTATTATTCCATTACGTGGGCAATGTGGAACACTTTGACGTTAATGGACGCATCAAACTGTCGTTGTCCTTTCGTTCTCCTGCACACTTGCACCCATTTACAAAGATGTATTGTTGATGCTGCATAGGTGCTCATTTCATATTCTAGTTCTTAAAGAGCAACTTGCAGGTTTATTTTTTTACTACATTTATGCTTAACCTTGCCTTAAAATTACAATAAAAAATGTTAATGCAGGATTTGATATGTTTTACAAGACATAAGGGCAGGAATTCAGAGGAAAACGAGCCGTTTTGAGCTCTGTTACTAAAAACTGATTTTTTTAACGTCATACGTCAAACGCGTCATATTACGTCACATGGGGGAGCAACTTTCTCTGACTCGTTCTCTGCCCAATCCGCTGTAGTAGTTTGTAGTTGGTTTGAGCGGTTGTGATTTAGTGAGCTGGTATTTTTTCGATAATTTTACATTGCATTTCACGATTTGTAATCATGTTGAGCTGGAGTTTTTGCAGGTTGCACAATCTCCAGCCTGTCAGGACATTGAGTCCACAGTTTCCCTCACGGGAAAAGGACCGGAGCTAGCGTTCCTGGGTGCGTTGTGCATCCACCTCCCTGCAGCACAATGGCCCCGTCTCAGGTCGGTTAAATGAAATCCTTGCGTCCCTCACTTGCGTCGTTTCCCTGTGACTAGTCCCTCCCACCAGGGAAGCATGGAGGGACGCAAGGAAACCACGAGAAGCAGGGAAATGAGTTTTAAGAGCAATGGGACGTCCTTTCCTCCGGAGCATCACGTGAAGCGGCGTTCGTTTGTGATGACGCCGCACAGCTGTTCGTCTGACAGCAGCTCTGTCCCCGTTGTTTTCACAAACACCCCCGCCTCTGTTAGTACACATTTACTGACACAAACATTTGAATCATCTGTTGTAGACCCAAATAAATAAAATAAGAACTCATTCTCAAAAAAGATAAACGCCATTCTTAAAATGTATAAACGAACAATAGTTTGATTAATATTGATTAGAGTGCACAATAGAAATACAAATAATTGAGAGAAAAAAAAGAGATATGTTATCTATCAAAACCCAGTTAGATTAACATTCATTGAAACAAAACACGGTATAAACTGAGGAGTGAGTCCCGTGAGGTTCATGTATTTTCTTCACTCCGCTGGGAAACTGCTCTCATGTCAAGAAGCATGAAATCAGTGCATGCACCGCATCGTCCAATCAGTGAGCGATACACAGTAAGGGGGCCGGGCGAGTATCTGAGGATTTCATCGGAGGATGGTCTGATGGTTCCTCGGTTATCGCTCCTCCATTATCGCTCCTCGCTCCTCCGGCAGAAATAAGAGCCATGGGACGGTACTCAAGATGGCGCAGACAAATCAACTTCCGGTGAGACAGAGGACCGAGGAGCGAGGAAATGAAAATAGTCGACCTGAGACAGGGCCATACTCTCCACAGCTTTATCAGGAAACCGTATTACATCTCTCTCCCCCCCTTCGCTGCTCTCTCTCTCTCCCCTCCGGTACATGGCACTGTAAGACGTAGTGTGGAGTTGCATTAGGTAACGCTGTGGTGGCTGTACTGCTCCAGCCGTCTCCTTTGTGTGGGCGTGGTGGCTGTCACTCCTGGCTCCCGGCTCAACCTCCACTCACCTGCTGCAATCAGCTGTGCACCCTCCCCGACTACACACCTGCTTTCCATCAAGCCATTTACAACGGCATATCAACGGAGGCTCCACAACCTTTCTCCGCCAGATCGTCAATTACCAGCCGTATCTCGCCTCCGGTACACAGCACCGTAGTGTGGAGTTGCAGTAGGTAACGCGAGATACGACTGATACTTATGCATTAGTTTCTGTTATGGATCAGTATCAACAGTAGTGATGGCAACATGAAGCTTTGAATGAAGCATCGAACCACTTGGACAATTGTGTCGGAAATAGGTTCATTTATCGAAGCTTCAGTTACAGCGACCTCTCCTGGCGAAGTGCAAGGCTGCAGTGAGTTTAACGTATCTTTGCCTTGAAAAATATTCGATGCACACACACACTAAGACTGAATATCATGTTCTATTTGCAATTAAAGATTGATAATTGTGTGTATTGGGTTATTGAGAAGAGACTAGAGAGTGCTGGACATTTTTTTGGGAGGAGAGGGCCTTTTATCAGTTATTAAAGTATTAAAGTTGAAAAGCAATGATTAAAAGTACAGCCATTCCGGGCTTTGAACCAGCGGAGGACATCGCCACATTCAGGCCGCCGGCTCTACCCACTGGGCTATCTATTCCTTAAAATATTGAACTGTTTTTATATTACTTATCATTGTCTTTTTGTTCACAACTTCTCCACATTTCGAAGTGTTTCCCGAGCCAAAACGACCTACAATTCAAATGCAATACCAACAACAACTCAACAGCAACAACGCAAACTACGACAACCCACACATTGCGCATTGTTTAGAGCGGTCATAAAGTGTTGAAGCGCTCAAATTTGAAACTGTTTCAACCTGTCACCTGTCAGAATCGAGATGAGGCAGTGCATTGAATCACCTGATTGGACGGCGAACCAGTGAGTTGATTCAGGAAATGAAGCAGTTGCTGGTTCGGACGTCATATTTCACGTGATTTGAAGCAAGCTTCGAAGCACTGCTTCTATGGAATAGGAAGTCCAGGGTTGAAGCTCCGTTCGAAGCTTAAGTGTCAAACTGCAAAACTAGGGCCACCAGGGTGGGTGGAGGGGGTCTGGAGGACGGGTCTTGGGATGACAGCCCAGGGGCACAGCAGAGGACCATGAAGGGGTCTCGGGCGGACGGCCCGGGGGCAAGGCAGAAGCCGAGAAGGGGGACTCGGGCGGACGGCCCGGGGGCAAGGCAGAGTCCAAAACGGGGGACACGGGCGGACAACCCGGGGGGCAAGGCATAGTCCAAGGTGGGGGACTCGGGCGGACGGCCCGGGGGCAAGGCAGAGTCCAAGGTGGGGCGAAGGCCAAACAGCTCCGGAGGCCGGGCAGGACCCGGTGTCGGCCGAACAGGAACCGGAGCCGGTGGGACAGGCTTCGGCTCGAGAGGAGACTCGAGAGGAGACTCGAGAGGGGAACCAAGGGGGAACTCGAGAGGGAACTCGAGAGGAGACTCGAGAGGGGAACTAGAGAGGGGACTAGAGAAGGGAACTCGAGAGGGGACTCGAGAGGGGAACTAGAGAGGGGACTCGAGGAGGGACTAGAGAGGGGACTAAAGGAGGGACTAGAGGAGGGACTGGAGGAGGGAACTCGAGAGGGAACTGGAGATGGGACTAGAGAAGTGACTAGAGGAGGGACTAGAGATGGTACTAGGGAATTGACTAGAGGAGGGACTTGAGTAGGGACTAGAGATGGGACTTGGGAAGGGACTAGAGGAGGGACTCGGGAAGGAACCAGAGAGGGGACTAGAGAAGTGACTAGAGGAGGGACTTGAGAAGGGACTCGAGAGGGAGCTGGAGGGGTGACTTGAGAGGGGACTCGAAAGGGAACTGGAGAGGAGACTTGAGAGATGACTCGAGAGGGGACTCGAGAGGTACTGGAGGGGTGACTTGAGAGGGGACTCGAAAGGGAACTTGCGAAGTGTCTTCAAAGGGGACTCGAGAGGGGACTCAAGAGGGAACTGGAGAGGGGACTCGAGAGGGAACTGGAGGGGTGACTTGAGAGGAAACTGGAGAGGGGACTCGAGAGGGAACTGGAGAGGGGACTTGAGAAGAAACTGGAGAGGGGACTCGAGAGGGAACTTGAGATGGGACTAGAGTTGGGACTGTGGCAGCTGGGGCCAGAGCTGGGTCTGGAACCATGGCCGCTGGGGCCGGAACTGGGGCCGGGACCATGGCTGCTGGGGCCAGAACTGGGTCTGGAACCATGGCTGCTGGGGCCAGTACTGGGACTGAAACCATGGCTGCTGGGGCCAGAACTGGGGCCGGAACCATGGTTACTGGGGCCAGAACTGGGGCTGGAACCATGGCTGCTGGGGCCGGAACCATGGCTGTGTGG